CCTGACAAATTCTTTTTTCTTGATGCACCGCAGTGTTGACGTGACACGGTTATCAGCTAAGACAAATTACTCATGATGTTCGTTGTCACCATAATATATATTATATTAAGTACATGTGGTGTTGATATGGTAAAGATACATTAAATATAAAAAATACTGAATTGTACATGAGGTAATGTACCAAATAAGATAAATAGATTAATACACGGAAAACGACTGGACAAGCACAGGGTAGAACAAGATAGTGTCCTGAATGTACGGGTACAGTATGTATGTGGTGGAGCAACGTTCCCGCTCGCTGTGGCGTCACGTACAGTATAGTATCAAGATGTGTCAAGGCGGGATATGCTCACTTTCGTCCAGCTTAAAATAAAGTAAAATATAAACCAGAAGTTAAAAAGAATTCCCACTGATCTGGAGGAAAGTTATTATCAAGCAGTGGTCCATTATACTTACAGTATTTCCACGCCACGCCCCTCGTCTATAGTTACAAATAGCCCACTGGTTCATAGAAAATGTTTGTAGCTACTCATTTATTGAAACTAAATATGTTCACAATTGGTAAGCAGACACGTTATTCTCTAAGATAATGTTAAATAACTGGACTATCAAAATGCAAATGATTTCAAGGTTGAAGTCAAAGATGAAATTCGCTTTCCAATGAAATCTTTTCATATTTTTGTTTTGTACCAAACATAAAGCAAACAGAAGCAAAGGATACAAGAAATATAGCACAGTCGGTAATGAACTACAGTTTGTGCGGCTGTATGTATCCCAAATCATTTATTAATCATAAAACTCGATATAAACGCGCTTATATACGTAAGAATCTTCCTTGGCCTCCAGCAGCGGCTCCTTCGCTTCCAACTTCTTAGAGTCGCAGAAGGTGGAAGACGCCCAGAGTAGTTTGAAGGCGGCGGCACACTGGGCACTTTCCTCCCAACATGTTGCCCCTTTTGCTGGCCTGGCGGCCCAGGAAGCTGCAAGATTTCGCCTGTTGTGAGAATTGGACATCGGTTTGGCGGCGAGCTTTGCTGGCCGGGTTAGCGCTCAAATGAGCTTTATATTTGTGTTGAATATTCAAGTAAAAATTGAAATAAATCATGAAACTGATAATTTAAAATATAAAGCATAAAACGGTGAGTTGTTTCTATTTATTCGTCACTTTAAAACTTCTTTAGTATTATTAAATTATTATTCAGGATGTTCTTTGACCAGTCAGCCGCCGCCACTTGTAAATAAACCTCACAATCCCGCAAGGCCTCGACTGTAGTAACTCGAACCTCGTCTAGACGCTTGTTGTTGGGCAGACGTGCTAAGAAAACATCCCAGTGACGCAAACGTCCCTTAGTTTTGGTGGCCGGGGAGTGTTGGGAGGAAAAGTGTCCAGTGTATCGCCGCCTTACAGTAATCAGTAAGTTAACTTAACTATGTTGTTGATTTCACCCAAACAACCTCGTCTGCAGCTGTTGGGAGATTCAAACCTTAGCTACCGCTGGCTCATTTGTCTGTAATATGGAAATGGAAGTTTATTGCCTTATATTATAATGAAATAAAACACATATTGGCACAAGTTAGTTGGTCTGGGCTTTGTGATGGCTAGTCTCCTTAAATCATTCGGGTAATACTATGAGGAACTGGTGGCCTACGTAGTCATCAGTCCACACATTATTAATTATCCTGGGAACGAGTAAATTATTTTGTGAGAATTAGTTTTTCATGTTTACCCACAAGTTTGTTAGGTAGACAATGACTGGGTGAACGGTACGTATAGTCTTGCAAGTTGTTGTCGTTAAGAAATAAACCCAGAATACATATTTTCCATAATATTAAACCTGTTTATTGAAGAACTTAATACATTATAAACTATTCTTCATAAATGACAGTTAAAGCATCTTGAACGAAAAACTAATTATTGCAATTCTTGTTTTTGAATGTGTAATTCCGTTTTAAACCTTACATAGTAAAAAAAAAGTATTTAAATCACAAGGAAATACCATTATCGTCTAGACAACTTATCATTCATGGTGAACACTGAACAAATTATTAACTTGCATAATAATTGAACTTTATTGTTTTCTGTTATTGGGAATATTATTTTTTGTGGTGACTGACTGGACAGTTGTTCTATATGATTTTTATATTTTTCCGAAGCTCTCATTTTACTCTTTTAAAACATTTGTTGATTATAAATAGTCGTGAATGGTGTAGTGTGGTTGACACTCAGAAGTGGGTGGTGGTGGTGGTGATCAGAAGCGGTTGGTGCTGGTCAGAACTGGGTGGTGCTGGTGCTTGTGTTAAGGGTACTGTTACTGTCAATGTTTGTTGGATCTGAGACGCTGTTAGTGAGGTACTTGGTAAAGGCGTTGTTAGTGGCGATAGTGATGGCATCGGAGGCGGTGTTGGTAATGGCGTAGCTGATGGGGTCCCGGGGGAAGGTGGCGGGAGTGATGGTGTGGCGTGCGGCGGTACTAGGAGACAGTCCCGTCGGGGTGGTGGAGCTTGGGGTCATGTAGTTCGGAGTGCCGCCGTTAGGGGTGGTGGCGCTGGGGGTGGTGTCAGCGGCGGTGGTGGTGACCGTGGCGTCGTACAGAGCGTTGTAAGACGGACATGGTGAGTTGTTGGTGGACGTCTCGTAGGCGGGGTCGTCCGACACGATGCTGTATAACACTGGTAGGGGTGAAGGTGGCTTGCCCCGCTCCTCACGCCCGTCAACGAGTTCGTGGGTGAGAGGACACCTAGTGGGGGAGGGGAGGACACATGCTTCAATATCCACAGGAGAAAATTTACAAGGGATACATAATATATAATTTTCCTTAAGGGACACACACACACACACACATTAGTTACTCTCGTTACCTCCTTCAATAGCTCTCTCTCTCTCTCTCTCTCTCTCTCTCTCTCTCTCTCTCTCTCCTTCGGTCCTTACCTCACACACCTCCTGACGAAGATAATGATGCCCACCAGAGCGAAGATGGAGAGGGACAGGGAGAAGAAGATGATGGAATTGTTGGTGTGATTCTTGTCTCTGTGGTGAGGAACTGTCGGCTGCTCGCTGCTGCTCACGCCCTGTCGGACAGTTGACGTCATAGATCGATTGATAGATAGATAGATAGATTGATTGATCGATTATTGATTGGTAGATATACTGATTGATGGGTAGATTGATTGATAGATAGACTGATTGATAGGTAGATTAATTGATTGATTGATTGATAGATAGTGACTGACTGATTGATAGATAGTGATTCATTGATTGATAGATATATAAGATGCATTGATAGATAAATAGCTGCCAGGTTGAAGGAGTAGAGGCAGTATTTTTGGCCACACACTACAGAAGAAATAACTAGGTCTGGTTGGGTTGGGTTTGGGATGGGGTTGGTTGGGATGGGGTTGGTTGGGATGGGGTTGGGGTTGGGTTGGGTTGGGTTGAGTTGGTTGGGTTGGGTTGGATTGCTGGGTTTGGGTTGGGTTGGGGGGTTGGGGTGAAACTAGGGTGAGATGAAACTAAAGTGAAGGATGGGGGGGGAGAGACAAGCAAAACAATGCACTGGAGAGAGAGTTAAGAAACGACCTATAGGATCCTGACTAGAGAGAGACTGCAAGAGGTAGTGCAGTATGGAGAGTTGCCATCTGATAGCCGCGTGGAAAATGGCTGTAAAACATTGATGATGTGGATAGATGAGCAGATAAATGGATAGTTACGTGGGTGGATGAATATAGAAATTAAGACGTAGGTAAATAAATAGATGGGAGGAGAGATGGATGGATAAATATATACATACTGTAAATTTTATGTCAGGTAATTAGTAAAATCGTGAAACAAGTCTACATAAACATGATAATCACTATACGATATAACTACTGTATTTTGTATTTTTTCCGTGGATTTGTATGGCCTTAATCTTTTGTAATTATGATTCTGTAAGCTTATTTTATAATGTTTATTGCTGGTGAATACAGAGTTTATTATTTTATTCTGTGACTTTATAGTTTTGTAATATGTGGTGTATTCGTGGGTACAGTGGGAGGAGTGGTTATGGTCCCTTGGTCCCGGGTTGTTGTGCCGACACTGGACGCCGCCGTTACTGTCTACTACCCGCCCCTCCCTCCATATGGTTATGTAGTTTTACTATTGTGTGTGTGCGTGTAATCATATATTTCGTCACACACAAATACAGTCACAGAAAAACAATACATAGATTTTGATATATAACCCGGGACCTTTATATATCCTCGCTGTTTGGAAGGAAAAGTCACATGTTTGCAGGCATGATGTGTACTGTCTGGTCAGTGTTAACGGTACTTTCCTCTCATGTATTGCAACTATCTGGTTGGGTTGTGTTTAAGATAGATTTATCATTTATAGTTAGTTTAATGTCAGGTGCTACCGGAGAGAAGTGGGAGGACCAATCAGCGTTCATCATGCATGTGTTATTGGCGATAGGTTGGGTGTCCCTGCTGCTGGTGCTCACCTGTTTGCCATCCGTGACGAAGATTGTGCCACCTTGGTCAGCTTGGTGTGACAGTCCCGGCGACTGTCCCACAGGCAGTGGGCTGCTCGACACATTCCCTCCTCCACCACCTCTGTTACCACCAACAATAGCTTGTATGTTGGGGTGGTCATGAGTGAGGGAGCCATGGCGTGAGGTAGAGGCCCGAGCAGCGATGGAGTCTTGCAGTGTAGCTGTGAATGTGTTGCTCTGAGAACACTGCCCTGAGAGGATTAAATGGTATAAATTTATCCCTGCCACGACAGAGTCTTCCGTGTGTGTGTCGTGGAGCACCTGGCTGCTACAGGCAGGTATGGTGTTATATACGGTGCCGTCGATCATAACCAAGAGGTTGTTGTCGTCAATGTGGATGGGGAGATGAGGCGAACTGTCTCTGCTGACGACAGATCCCGTGTAGTAGTTGAAGGTGTTCACCCAGGAGCCCCGCGAGTCTGTGAAGATGGAGTAGAGTTCTCCTGATGGTCCCGGCACCCACACACCTCTGGCTGGGTGATGATGAAAAGGCAACACGGTTCGCCTCCCTGATACTGTGTCGAACTTGACCACCCTCAGACCTGACCTTGGGCCCCCTTCCTCCTGCTCGGTAAACGACGTCCTCGAGGTCCCTGAGTCTCTGGGGGGCACCAGTTCCTGCAGGAAGAAGAGGTCGCCCCGATTATCACTCCATCTACGTAGGATGCTTCGATGGCGGTACTGGATATCCTCTTTGCCAGGCACTACATCCAAAGCCGACCACTTGCCATTGTGGTCAAGCTTCCACAACGTCTGTCTCGCAATGGTGCCATGTGTGCCCTCCCGTGTTGCGTCGGTGCCATGTGTGCCCTCCCGTGTTGCGTCGGTGCCATGTGTGCCCTCCCGTGTTGCGTCGGTGCCATGTGTGCCCTCCCGTGTTGCATCGGTGCCATGTGTACCCTCCCGTGTTGCATCGGTGCCATGTGTGCCCTCCCGTGTTGCGTCGGCACCATGTGTGTCTTCTAGTGTTGCGGTGTTGCCATGTATGTCCTCCGGTGTTGCGGTGTTACCACGTGTGTCCTCCAGTGTTACCGTGGTGCCACGTCCATTCATCAGGGCTGAAGGTGTGGTGGTGGGCGTGACGGAGGAGGTGAGGAGCCAGAGAGCGTCACGGAGCCTCCCACACCAACTGGCGATCACAGCTGAAACTCCTGAGGGGAAGTGTAGCTCCTGGTGGTGCAGGAACCTCTGCCAGGTGAGGGCGTCGTAAGGCAGGAACCAGGTGGTGGTGGAGGAGGTGTTGAGGGTGTACACGGCCACCAGACCTTGAGACCATGGGCACACCACCACCGGCTCACTACTACTACTACTGTTACTACTGCTATTACTATTACTGCTATTAGTATTACTATCGCCACCACCATAAACATCTTTAGCACTGTTCACACCACCACCTCCACCAGAAGGCGTCGAAGGATCCGGGGCGGCCATCGTGACGCCTCTGGTGCCCCAAATGTGACCTCCGTGGGCGTGTGGAGGAGGAGGGCGCGCCCCCACGTCATGCCAGGTGAAGGACGTGAAGTTGACAACCCACACCTGTCCTGGCCTCACCTCCAACCTGGCGATGATAATATTGTTAGTTATCTCTCTCTCTCTCTCTCTCTCTCTCTCTCTCTCTCTCTTAAATCCACGAAAACTATAAAAGACATCTGATCACGTGAAGATTTTGCCACCCCAGCTTATTTCACCTGTGAATAAACAACATAACTCTACCTCTGGGTGGATTAGGGTTGATTAGGTTACATTGGGTTGTGTATGGTATATATTTTATGTTGTGTGATGTGCAGCGTATGTTTAGTATTATGTATAATATATGCTTGGTGTGATGTATGTTGCGTACTGTACGGTACCGGGTACCTTCCACGAGAAAAGAGCGGCCGCCCAGCGCGAACTTCGCAAACTAATGGACGAATGGTGGAAAAATATAGCGTGTGAAATGCAAACATTTGCGGATCAACACATGATGCGTGAATTCTTCAATTCCGCTGAAACAGTACATGGCCCCATTACTTATGGCGTGGTACCCCTCTGTTCATCCGAAACACTAATATGGATGTCATGACTAACCAGCAGGTCCATCAGCACCCAGAGCTGACCCACCGCTATCCTCCATCCCTGGATGAGGTAGCTACTGCAATCAAGCAGACGAAAAATAACAAAACCACAGGGCCTAATCCAAGCCGAGGTGTATAAAGCAGGAGGGCCTCTGCTTACCAGCCACATCCACTCTCTCCTGGAGAATATATGGGAGAAGGAGGAAATCCCTCAAGATCTTGAAGACGCCTCCACCGTCAATATTTATAAGAGCAAAGGAGACCAGTCAGACTGTGGCAACTACCGCAGGATCTCGCTGCTGTCTGTAGCTGGCAAGATCATCGCCCGAGTCCTCCTAAACAGACTTCTTCCTGAGGCGGAAAACTTCCTCCCAGAATCTCAATGTGGCTTTAAATCATCACGTGACACCACTGACATGATTTTTGCTGCCCGCCAGATATAGGAATAATGCAGAGAACAGCGTAGTGACTTGTACATGGCCTTCATTGACCTTACTAAGGCCTTCGACAGGGAAGCCCTCTGGCGGACCCTCAGTCGTTTTGGCTGTCTACCAAAATTCATTGTCATTGTGAGGCAACTCCACGATGGTATGACAGTGTCCTACACAATAGCACCCAGTCTGAGTTCTTCCTTACTAGTGCCAGTGCCAATTTAGCCAGCGGGGTGGACATCCAGTACTGGATGATGAATGGACTTTTCAACATAAGACGACTCCAGGTAAGAAAAAAGGTATCGGCCGCTTCCATCACTGAACTTCAGCATGCAAACGACCTAATCCTCGTAGCGACCTACAGGAGATCCTGAACACCCACACAGATGCGTATGCACACTTCGACCTTGAGGTGAATGTACGTAAGACTCAGATTCTCTTTCAACCTGCCCCTGGTTCAACCACACCTCCACCATCCAGCCACCTTAACGGTACTACTCTCTCTAATGTTGCCCACTTCCAGTATCTCGGCTCCCACACTGTAACGCTTGGAGGAGCACCACACGAGAAGGTGCCAATGCTTTCGAGTTAGCCCAACCGCATACAATGCCGCCGCCCCTCCCGCACTAGATGTAGTCCTCCACACGTGCAACATCTGTGGACGACACTGCCGATCCCGTATCGGCCTCTCGAATCACCTCAGAGCTCACCAACGAAGGTGACATCCTTAATAACTCATATCGTTATATCATAGCTGGATGGTCGTCATAGTCGATTCCAAGTGACAGCAAAGTAGTATGGTGTATGATGCATGTAGTGTAGTAGGTATTACAGTACATATGCTGCTTTTTATGTATGGTGTATATTATGCATCATATATGTTGTGCCTGGTGTATGATGGTATTGGCACAATTTTATGTAAGTTCATGTGTCGATTATTTCTCGCCAACCCCGTGTGTATTATGTACTGTACAGTTATATTAGGTGTGGTGCGGATCGCGGATTTACTCATACATACATACATACATACATACATACATACATACATACATACATCCCTTTAAGAAAACCAACAAGGTTCTTCCCTGGGGTCTACATTTCCCCAGATACTCAACAACTCTTACGTCCAATTTTTACCTTAACTTGTGTATCGGGAGCACACTTAACTGCCTCACTTAAGTTACGACACAAAAATTACTTCCAGAATGACGTTTGGAACTGCACCGAGACTCGTAACTTTGTGGTCTCTCTACCCTCACGTATTTTTGGAGAGTTGGCTGGGATAGAGTTTAACCTAACCTATCCTATCTTAACCTATCATACCCTATCCTAACTTAACCTACCCTATCCTAATTTATCCTATCCTAACTTAACCTATGCTATCCTAACTTAACCTATGCTAACCTAACCTAACCTAACCTAACCTAACCTAAACCAACGTAAACGAACTAAATCTAGCCAAGACTAACCTACCGTAACTTCATACAACCCAACCCAAGGGTCACGTTGAAGGGGTCTCTCTCTCTCTCTCTCTCTCTCTCTCTCTCTCTCTCTCTCTCTCTCTCTCTCTCTCTCTCTCTCTCTCTCACCTGTCCCTGGAGGAAGTCAGTACCCAGAGGTTCCCTAGGTGGTCCGGGGCGAGGGTGAGGGAAGAGTCGACCTCCTCCTCCCCCTCTGACTCCCCATCTACCCTCCAACATAGGCCTCTTGACGACGAGGGTGAAGGAGACGTTGATGACGGGGAGGATGACTTTAGTGGCGGAGACGAAGACGATCCTGACGATGTTGACGACGATGAGGAGACATTTCTTATTAGGGACGCCTCCTCCTCCTCAGGGTTCAGGAAGGAGGAGGAAGAAGATGCTGGTGGGGGTTCTAAAAAGGTCCCTCTCTCTCTTGGTGTAGAGAGAGCCCTAGATGGGTGGGGGGAGGAAGAAGAGGAGAAGAGGAAAGACGACGAAGGAGAAGAAGAAGAAGGAGGAGGAGGAGGAGGAGGAGGAGGAGGAGGAGGAGGTCTCATGATATTTAAGGAAGTGTCTTTCTTCATAGTCGAGGGAGTCAGGGTGGAGGAGAGGGACTTGAAGTGGGGTTGAGACGTGGGGGAGGAGGAGGGTGTTGCTGGTGGTCGCCTGGGAAGGAGCGGGAGGGGGGAGGAGCCACGGGGAGAGAGGACCCTCCTGGACACACCTGAAGAGACAAAAGAAAAAAAAAAGCTGGTTAAATGTTATGATGTATGTATGTATGTATGTATGTATGTATGTATGTATGTATGTATGTATGTATGTATGTAGGTATGTATGTATGTATGTATGTATGTATGTATGTATGTATGTAGGTAGGTATGTAGGTATGTATGTAGGTATGTTTGTAATAATAATAATTAACGGTTTATTGAAAGAGCATGGCACCGGAAGGCTGAAAATATACAGTTACATAATTGGGGAATGGGTCACTTAATATACAAATATGTAGACGATTTCTGATAAACTTCCTACGTGCTCCTGTTTGAAGTAATGAATCTATGTATCTTCATATAATTTAGCTAAATATCTTTCTCGTCCAAACGGTCATCCCAACGATTATGAATAAACCCGTTTAGAAATACATCATTACTTCAGGACGAAATCGAACAGATTTTCAACAGCCAATAAGCTGTAACTCTTGAGTCTGGAGAAAACGAACTGTAGTAGTAGTAGTAGTAGTAGTAGTAGTAGTAGTATTAGTAGTAGTAGTAGTAGTAGTAGTAGTAGACGCCTCACCCTTTCCATAATAAGCTACAACACACCCAGGAAAATATAAATAATTACATAAACAGATAAAGGAAAAGAAACCATCAATATATTTATACATTTAAATAGTGAATCTGGCAGTAAAAAAAGTGAATCGTATGAGAGAGGTTGATTGCCTAGTAGCGGAAGCCTTTAATGAGGTAGTTAGATAGTTAATGAAGCAACGTGTCCAATTAGTCCATTTCCGCGTTTCTGCTTACGTCTGAAATTCGGGAATGAGGTGAAGAAAGGGGGAGGGGTAGGGGACGGAAAGGGAAGGGGTTGTGGTTGAAAGGTGAAGGGTGGAAAGAGGGAGGGGTTTGGAAAGGAGGGAAGGGTGGAAAGGGGAGAAAGGTGGAAAGGGGAGGAGGGTGGAAAGGGGAGGGGAAGGGTGGAAAGAGGAGAGGAAGGGGATGAAAAGGGGGAAATGGGATAGAATAGATGGTAGAAAGGGGAAGTAAGGAAGAGGGGATAGGTGAATAAGATGAGGTTGGAGGGGGTGAGGGCGTTTTATCCATCCATTCATCCCTCCATCCATCCGCTTGACCATCCATTTATCTACGCTTGTCCATCCATCCATCCATCCAGCCATCCATCTATCTATCTATCTATCTACCTACGCCTGTCCATCCATCCATCCGTCACACCAATTATAATGCTTCAAAAGCCAGGAACATTTGTCCAGAGTATTAATAGATATGTAAGATTAAAATAGATAGATAGTCAACTCGTCAGGCAAGTGTCCATTGATACAGCATGTGTACATAGACAGTACAGGGCTACAGTGTGTACATAGACAGTACAGGACTACAGTGTGTACATAGACAGTACAGGGCTACAGTGTGTACATAGACAGTACAGGACTACAGTGTGTACATAGACAGTACATGTATACAAACAATGGCACACACACACACACACACACACACACACACACACACACACACACACTTCAAGGAAACATAATACCGTGTTAACATTATCGGATTTTAATCGCGTATACACCAGGTAAGAGAGACTAACTGTGCCGAAGATAAGTTTTTAGAGAGAGAATCATAAAAAAGGGAAATTAGAGAGAGTGAGTTGTAGTTGATAGAATTAGTGAGAGAGAGAGAGTGAGAGAGATTCAGGGATGAGCTGGGTGTATCTGGTTACCCTTCCACTAGTAACTGAGGGCCAAGGTATTGCTTTCAGTCTGTCTGTCTGTCTGTCTGTGTCCCCAAGATAACTCAATAACGGGTTAGAGGATTTCCACCAAACTTTGTAGGTCTAATGAACATGATTCAAGTTCCACATTATAAACTTTTGGTATAAATTGCACCAAAATTGACCAAGTGCTGCCATGTTTACGGTTCACACCCTCGGGTTGTATCGGGTACAGTATTAAAGAAAACGATGACATGAGAGACTCGCCAGCGGTGACTACGTTAATTTACACTAACAGCATCATCAGTGCGGTAATGATAATGGTAACGGTTCGCTGGCTGGGTTTAATTGTTTATTTCTGTTCTAATATTGCTCACTCTATATTTATCTGTTAATCTATCATTGCTTTTATCTCTCTCTCTTTGTCTGTCTATCTGTGCCTGTTTATCTGTCTTTGTCTATCGGTTTCTTCTGCCAAGAAGAAGAACCATCATGACAGAGGCAGCAGTCAGAGAGAACTTACCTGAGTCATTTATGGCCAAGACCACCTATTATCTTACCTCTCTCTCTCTCTCTCTCTCTCTCTCTCTCTCTCTCTCTGTCTCTCTCTTTCTTTCAATCTAATAGTACTTTGCTTCCGGAATGTAAACACACACAGACACACACACACACATTGGCCCCGTGTGTACATTAATGGGAGAGATGCATACACTGATTTATTTTGTGTGTGTGTGTGTGTGTGTGTGTGTGTGTGTGTGTGTGTGTGTGTGTGTGTGTGTGCGTGCGTGCGTGCGTGTGTGTACAGTCAGATGACCATACATTCCTTCACCGGTGTTGAACAATATAACAAACATGGCGACACACTGCCACAAAGCTTCGGCATCTGGGTAGCTCTGGTGACCATATGTGGAGCTGCCTGGGTCACCTGTCATAATGTAATGTTATTTTCTGTGTAATACTAGAATGGTTAAGTTTATTGTACACTGTAGACGACGGAAGATGTACAGTAGTGTTCAGGGGTGACTCATTGCGTCCTTGTATACAATGAATATTTTTCTGTACATGACTGAGACATACACAAATTACTCATGTGTACATATAGGGTTTACATACTGGTTCTAGGTTTACATGACTAAAAGGTGGCTTTATATGTGCGTGTATAACGGTTGTGCACAGCGGTTCAATGTGTACATAATTGTCATAGATATAATAGTTCTTCGTGTACGTGGATGAAGCGTACACAGGGGTTGTATGTATGAGTGGTTATATGTACACTGGTTCTTCGTGTACGTGGCTGATGAGTGTACATGGGAGGTATAAGTGTACATGCCTCAAAGGTGTGTGTTGGTAAACATGTTTAGTGTAGGCTACTCGGGTGTAGAGGTGAGGCTTCCTATACTGTACATTGTCTGGCTTCTGTGTGTGTGTGTGTGTGTGTGTGTGTGTGTGTGTGTGTGTCTGTGTGTGTGTGTGTGTGTGTGTGTGTGTGTGTGTGTGTGTACATAACCAGTGTAGTACAGTAATACAACCACCTCAACCACATACTGTAGCTGTATGTGGGTAGAGAGAGACAAGCCTATTAGTACCGTGTGAGAACAGTCCAACTCTCTTAGTAGCTCTTGTCACTTCATTTGCTAAACATTACTGTAAAACAATATGGTTGGGTATTTCAATCACATATTCTCCGTTAAAATTTTCACAATAAGTCGTAACTTACTGATATTTTCTCTCGCGGGCATCAGTTAATCCATCCAGCTTCCTCCCCCCACTCACATCAGCTGGTGAAGTGAGGCCTCGGCTTCGTCCCCTTCCGGGCCCACCCAAACACCACCTCATTCTCCCCGACCAATCATGCGTTCAGGCACAAACTTTGGGCGCAAAACAGAGCTCCATTTGCATCCAGACCCTGGTGGGGAATATACAGTGCGAGCAGCGAGACACCAAGCGGGAAAAATGTACCTTTGGAAAGAGTGTGTGTGTGTGTGTGTGTGTGTGTGTGTGTGTGTGTGTGTGTGTGTGGGATTTCTGTGGTTGGTAACGGTGTATATACTGTTATAAGTTTGTTTTATATAACTACTGTTTTTGTCTGTGCTGTTGTATTTGTTGTTGTTGTTACTATTAGTGTGTGTACCATTGATAAAATTCTTTACCTCTAACCTGTTTTCCTGTTTGTTTTTTTACCATTATTATTATTTTTTTTCAATTTACAAACTCTACTAATAATCAACAAAAATAAATGACAAGAGTGACGTAAATTGGTGAATTAATAAGTATTGGAGGAAGGGCGGCAGAGGCAGCTGGTGTAGTGATCCGCTCTTCCCGGGACTCGGTATTGGAAAGTTAAAACGAATTTGGTTGTCAGTTCATGTCTTGGAGTACGATAACTTTGTGTCTCGCAGTACGATAACTTTGTGTCTCGCAGTACGATAACTTGGTGTCTCGAGTACGATAACTTGGTGTCTCGAGTACGATAACTTGGTGTCTCAGAGTACGATAACTTGGTGTCTCGCAGTACGATAACTTGGTGTCTCGGAGTACGATAACATGTTGCATGAGAATGATAACCTCTTCAGTGTGATATTTTTGTGTGTAATAACATAAGCTCTTGTTACCATAGTATAATAACTTGTGTGAACGATAACTTGACAACGATAACAATATCCTGAGTACGATAACTCGGGGAAAAGAGAGTGACATAAATTGAGAAGAAATGAGAGAATTAGGGAGAGAGAGAGAGACCAAGTTAGAATCAATAATAACTGAGAGAGACAGAGAGAATGAAAGAGAGAGAAGAATCAATGATAACAATAAGAAAGAAGGGTTTGACAGAAACAAAGAAAGAGAGAGAAAAAGAGAAAGAAAGAGAGAACAAAATCAAGGTAAAATTAATAAATAATAAATACCTAAATGATGACCTCATATGACTCTTCATGACCTTCAGCCAGTAGTGTGACCCCTCCCATCTCTCTCTCTCTCTCTCTCTCTCTCTCTCTCTCTCTCTCTCTCTCTCTCTCTCTCTCCTCTCTC